GGATGGGCGCTCACCGATGTCGTGGCTCTGGGTGGCCTGGGAGTAGTTCTCATGGAGCACGTAGTCCTGCACACGGAGCTCGGCGGAGCCCTGTGTGCTCCTGTTATAGTGGGTCTGCCCCAGCCTGACAGAGATGTGGGAGACGCTCGGCCTGCAGGATGTGACCAGTCATCAGCTAGGGAAGTGCCGCTGGCCGCCCACCACAGCCCTGCTCCCTCCCCGGTGTGCCCAGCCCAGCCTGGCCGTGCTCGGTGACTTGCCTGTGCCGCAGACAGTGCGCAGCTGTCAGCACCCAGCAGGAGGCAATGAGGGTCCCCCCGCAGAAGTGCTCCCCCAGGGAGAGGGCTGCCAGGTAGGGATGGGAGCCAGGCAGCGCCAGCATGCCGCCAACAACCCGGCTCCGCAGGGACGGGCTCTTCTTGTACCGCTGCCCACAGCTCTGAGCAGAGCTGTCGCTGGGGCTTGTGGTCGTGGGCTTGGCCTCCGGCCGGCCCCCTGCTTCCGCTGTGTCCACAGCACCTGTGGGGAGAGAGCCGGTCATGCGAGGCTCCACTGCCCCCCCGCCCTCTGAGAGCTCCTCGGGGCCTACCCGCTGCGTGCAGCTCGCATGGGGGGACGCTGCAGAACTCCCAGCTGAGCTGCTCCTCCCTCAGCGTGTAGCACCAGGGCCGGCTGTCATTATCGGGGTTCCTGCAATGGAGAACCCCCCACTCCGTCAACGGGCTCCAGCACAGAGCAGCCAGGAGCCCGACCCCCAGCTCCCAGCCCCCTGCCCCAACTCACCCAGCCCTTGCCCTGGCGTCTCGCATCTCCTGCCTGCCAGCTCCCCTCTCTGGGGCTGGGGCCCGTTGCTCACCTGCAGAAGGCGTGGCCGCCCAAGCCCAGGCTGAGTGCGTCGCGCAAGGAGCGGGTGGAGAACTCGTGGGACAGCAGGTCAGAGTCCCAGGGCAGGCACTGTGCCCCCGAGAGGGTGGTGTGGGCCATGCCCCTGTACAGGAGCCCGCTCCCGGTGTAACAGGCCTGCCTCCGGTCTGGTGAGTAAAGAGCCAGTCACTGGATGTCGCTCCACAGCTCCTTCCCCGCAACCCCTCAGGCCCCAGCCCTTGGGCCACCCAGAGCACATGGGCACCTCCAGCTCCGCTCTGGGCTGCCCTGCTCCCCCGTGGGCTCTGGGAGGCTGGATGCCCAGAGCTCTGATCCCAGCTCCGTGACCTCGACCAGGCCCGGTCCCTCCGGGGGCCCAGGGATCCTGACCCAGCCCGTGTAGTACTGTTCTAGGCCCAGCCCCGCGCCCCTGCCCTGGGTGGCAGTACCTGTGTCACAGAAAGGCCCAACGTAGCCGCTCTGGCAGCTGCAGACCCTCTCCCGCTTCACTTCCATGCAGTGCCCTCCGTTCAGACAGGGGTTTGTGGGACAAGCTGCAGAGCAGAGACAGGTGTCAGGGCTGCCTCCATGGGGCTGGCACTGACCAGCTGTTTGGGGCCAGTCCGGCATACGGGGCCCAGCTCAGCCGCCCCTGAGCAAGCAGCGCATCACCACTGCCCAGTCCAGCACCTCCCGCTGCCCTGCCTGCCCTTGCCCCCAGGCCCCGTTCGGCTCCTCTGTCTGCCCATGCCCTGCCCTCTGCGGGGTAGCCCCAGCCTCCTTTGGGGTGTGTCATGGAGTGTGGGGGAGACAAGGCCCTGCACCCCCGGCTTCCTCCACCTCACCATGACTCTCAGCCAGCCAGTAAAGCAGAAGGTTTATTTAGACGACAGGAACACAGTCCAAGACAGGCCTTGCAGGTACAGACAAGAGGACGCCTGTAGTTAGGCCCATCTTGGGGGCCCCAGGGACACCACAGCCCCGTTGGGAAGCCCGAGCCCCGTCTGGGCTCCCTCCATTTCCCCAGCCAGCTCCAAACTGACTCCCCCTCCAGCCCCTCCTCCTCTGCTTTGTTCCTTTCCCGGGCCAGGAGGTTACCTGATTCCTTTGGTCTCCAACACCTTTAGCTATCCCCTTGCAGGGGGGAGGGGCCCTGGCCATTAGTTGCCAGGAGACAGAGTGTCGGCCATTTATGTGCACTGGCCCTTTGCGCTGCAACAACCTCACCCCCTAGAGACTTAAGAACTGCATCGGGGAAACTGAGGCAGCCACACAGTATTCAGAGGAAACATTAAGAACAGTCCCAGTTGGTCACAGGCTGGACCCTCCCACTGTGGAATAGTGCTCTCTGCCCCCCACTCTCACCCTTGCCATGGGCTGGCCGGCAGACAGTCTTCCCGCCGGCACAGTGGCACTCCTCCACGCCGGTGGGCCGGTACCTCGGCCACTTCTCTCCCTCAAGGAAATACGCCGGCAGCCGCTCTTCAAAACAGCTCTCTGCAAAAGCCGAGTGGGGCCAGTAGGGAATGAGCCTGGGTCCCCCTTCCCCCAGCCCAGACACAGCCCGGTCCCACCTCGGCATCTGCCCGTGCCCCAGCTGCGGCCAGTCGAGTCCCTGCCCGCTGCGAACCCAGTGCCTGTTCCCAGGGGCTGCTGCTGGTCCGGCCGGGCGGGGTGGGGTGTGATCGACATCGTGAAGCCAGCTGGGCTCAGTAGTGGGGCTGTGCGTGGCTCTGATCTGTGGGGGGCTCTGCCCCCGAGCTGGGTCCTGCTGCAAGCGGCTGCCCCTGGCGAGGTGGTTCTGGAGCAGTCCTCCCTTGGAGGTGAGTGTGTCATCCCCCAGTCTGACACAGCCAGTGGCTGGCAGTCCAGGGGCAGGGTCCCAGGGCAATGGGGGGGCAGCAGGGGCAGGCAGGGAGGTCCCCACTCCTTTGCTCCCTACTGGAGCTGTGTGGCCCAAGAGGGTGGGGTGGCTGCTGGGCCCAGTCACCTTTCTGGCAGTGCCTGCCATGGAAGCGGGCAGGGCACACACAGTGGTAGCCATCCTGGCTGCTCTTGCAGGCACCCCCGTTCTCACAGGGGTTCGGCTTGCAGGGATCTGCAGACAGAGAGCGGAGTCAGGGGCAAAGGCTCTAGGCTGGGGGGCAGCAGCGCCAGGATCGCCAGGCCCTGCCGGGACCTAGCCCTGAGCTGAGGCCTGGACGAGCGCCTGGGAGGGGCTGGTGGAGCCTGTTGTGAGTCCAGGGCTGCCTTAGGGTTGGGCGACCCCAGGTGACCGCCCAGGGGCGCCATAGTCAAGGGGGCGCGCTGCAGCACCGCAGTGTAAAGACAGAAACTGCTCCCAGCTGGCAGGGGAGCGCCGCGTGGGGGGAGTGCCCAGGAACATGTGGGGGGGTCTGTGTGTGAGCGGTGACGGCCCCCCCCCAGGGGGCTGGGGGAGGGGAGGAGCGATACCAAGCGCTCTGGGCATCCAGCTCACTTTCCCCACCTGGGCTGTGCTGCGGCATCAGGAGCTGCTGCTCTCTGCCCTGCCCTTGCGCAGCCGGCAGGCACAAGGACCGGCTGCAGGGAGCCCTGACGTTGCTCCTCACTCCCCCCTCACAGCCCCCTAGAGGGGTGTGCGGGGCGGAGGGGCAGCGTTGGGGGCGGAGCGAGCAGCAGTGCCAGCAGCTCCGTCTGTGCATCCAGGTCACTTTCCCCACATGGGCGCAGGGGTTTGGAGTCCAGGGGGGTGGGGCACCCCCGGGGGCCAGGGGAATATCATGCCCATTGGGGCCAGGGGCAATGGGGGGCACCATGCCCTTGGGGGCCAGGGGCGCAGTGGGGGGCATCAAGCCCACATGGGGCAGGGGCGCCAAAATACAAGTTCACCCAGGACGCCATTTTCCCTAAGGCCGGCCCTGGGTGGGTTAGCGAAGGGCAGTGGGACATGGGGTGCAGACCCCCCGCATGTGGGGCTGGAGCAGGGAAATCTTATCCCCTCCCCCCCCGCAGGGGTCACCTGGGTTCCCATTGGCCGCCGCACCTGTCACTCTCTTGTCCTCCCCACAGAGAGTCCACTTGTGGTCCCGGTCGTAGTTCTCGGTGGTGGCGCACCTGCCGCGGGAGGTGACAGTGAGGGGGGAGCGATGGTGCGGCCCCGGAGACCAGGGGGGCGAGGGGGCAGTCACGGGTGCTTGGCCTCGTCCCTGGGTATTGCGTGGAACATGCTGCCCAAGGGGCCTGTGGTGGCCCCAGGCGCTGTGCCTTCGCCCTGGGGCCGAAGCCCTACCCCAAGGGGGTGAATCCCGGCTCCCCAGAGGGCTCTGCTCTCCCTGCGTCTCCCACATGGGGCTGGTCGTGGGCATGGAGAGGGCAGCCATCCTGCCTGCCCCCTCACCTCTGCCTGAGAGCGCTCTGTCGGGCTGCCACCCTCCCCACAGACGGGGGCCGAAGGAGGGCCCTTCCTTGGCGTTTGGGGCACAAGGCTCTTACCAGGACCGGTGGCCATGCGGGCCGCCCCGGAGGCAGGAATATTGCATCTTGCGCTTGTAGCGGAAGGGGAAGTGGCAGGGCTCCCCACTGGCTGCTGCCGTCACTGCAAGGCAAGGGCAGAAGGGGAGCTGCCCTGAAACAGTCCCTCCCTGGGGGGCTTCAGGCCCCTTCTCTCTCCCACCCCTGGCAGGAGGGAGGGATGGACAGTCTCCCCCTGCCCCCATCTCACCTAGCGGACACCAGTTCCCAGCCCCTGCCCCGGGGGAACTGCTCCCAGGGACTGTCTCTGTGTCCATGTGCTGCTCAGCTGGGCTGAGAGATGGGCTCGTGCCAGTGACCATCCCCCCAGGACAGCCCCTCTAGCCCAAGCAGGGCGCCCCCCGTGCTGGTAGGCCCAGGCAGCAGCGGGCACGTGCTCTGCCATCCAGGACCCCCGGCCCCAAGCTGGAGCTGCTCTCGCCCATGACAGACACTCACCCTGGCCCTTCATCCTCGGCGGGGGCTTGGCATGCCGGTCCTGCGGGACAGAACCCAGTGAGCATGTGCAGCGAGCCCCACGCTGGCCCCCACCTTGGCCGCAGGGGGACAGCCGTGGGGGTCCCTGTCCTGTGTGCCCCTGGGGACAGGGCCTAGCACATGCCTGGCTCTGAGGCACTGCTGCTCTCTGTGGCCGTTCAGCCCTTCCCCTCTGGGGGCCTCATGCCCCCCTTCTCAGGGCGAAGCAGGGGCTGTCCCTGGCCAGAGAGGGCCAGCGGCTGCAGGGACTGTCCCTCTCCAGCTGGAGTCAGGTCAGAGCATCCCTCTGGGATGGGCCCCGCGCGGCGCAGGGTCGCCCCAGGGCCCCCAGTCTCACAGGTGTGGGTGCTGATAAGGAAGGAAGCCAGGGTCGGCATGCGGGGCCAGCCCTGGGGAGCCCAGCAGGGAGAGCTTGAGCGGGCGGCAGGCTCCGGGGTGCGTCTGTGCTGGGAAGGGCAGGCCCAGGAGAGCAGCCTCCTGCCATGGCTGGGGGC